TATGTATATACATATATATATATATATATACACACACATATGGTTTTCAAAACAAAACGAACACAGACACGTGTGTAGTTCCGATCCTCACCTACACAGAACCTTTCCCAGGCTCTTGGGATAGGTTCAGGAGCCTCTTGCTGTTGCTTCTGGCTTCAACCATCTACGGCACTTCAGGTACCACTTGGGTGCAGTCTCTCCAAAGTCTATCGGGTTACGTCGAGCTTCTTCGGAAAGGCCTGGTTTCCTGGGCCTTCCCAGGGGTTCCCGGTCATGGTTGAAGGTTTTGTGGCTTCAACTTCGAGTTGTATCCACTGGAGCCAGTGGTAGTGGAGCATCGCAACGTACTCGAGTAGCAGGCTTCCTCCGAAATCCCTGTGCGAGCTACCTCCTGTATTTGGCTTAAGCGTAAAAACGGAGACCCACTCCTACGTTCCTAGAGCCATCGTCAGCTTTCCCGAAAGGTCCTCTTCATTCCAAAGGTCGTGTCAAGCCCTACTACACCCAAAGGTCTACATCCGAAAGCTCGCCGTACACCCTGAGCCCGTCGTCGTTCCGCAGACCCTCAACATCCTAAACGCCCAAGGTCGCTTGGCAGCTGCGCAGGCAGCGACGCCAGCGGCAGCTGCAGCAAGTGCTGGCTTCTTGGACCCAATGGGTTCGGGATGTTCGGCCTAGGGTTCACAGTGCATTTATACGGTTCATGTAAGTGGCCTTTCTGAGGCTCTATATTTATCGGCTGTTTGGAGGGTGCTTCATTATGCAGTTTAGATCGCCCAAATGATCCGAGGATGCCATCGACGCCATCAATGCTGCAGACCCCCGCGAGGACGAGCTCCTTGCATCATCAACGCATGCGCCACCCAAAACATCCTTGCATGTCGCGTCGCTTTGCACGTGCAGATCGTCATATATTTTGTATAAGATCCATCCATCCGTCTATCCATCCATCCAGGCAGCCAGGCAGCCAGGCAGGCAGGTACATCTTGTATGCACTCGTGCATGTGCCTGCCCTCATGTATGTAGGCACACAGGCATCATGCTCAGGTTCTTTGCATTTTCATCTGTTCAACAAGTCCTTCTTTGCATGCCTTGAATTACAGGGATACATGCACCCGCGACTCTATGCACGTTCTCTATCCCTCTCTGTATGTGCATATCTGCACACCTTGCCTGCGCGCGCCGTTGACGCTCTCCTGCCTGGAGGCCTAGAGCCCTAAACCTCAACAAAACAAGCCCCTAAACCCTAAACCCT